AAGATTTGTCTTGCTACAGGATGTGACAACTCCATTAGAACAAAGGTGTTGAAATTGTTTTCCTGGTGGTAGCTAAGGCATTGGGATGAAGTGGTGTTTTAGTCTAGTACCAGTAAAGGTCCATGGTGATGGAGGTTGGAGGTGCAGTTCAGAAACAGAGTTTGTACTGAGAATGCATGAGGCCCTGGGTCTAATCTCCTCCCTGGGGGAGTAGCTGTGGTGATCAAAAGTCAACTTGTCTTTTGCACCATAGCATTGAGATACCGCAAATGAAGCTGCACTCCATCCTGCATCACCCTCAAATGTCAGATTTGCATTTTATGTTACATACGAAGTTAAAAATCCAAAAAGTTTATTAGTGATGCCAGGTTATATGTGAGAAAATTCAGAAGATGGATAACTACTCTGGAAGGACAATTTTCATATTCAGGTATCGACAAACAAATATACCACTTAGGATTTATACTGGGATAGAAAATATTAACAATATTCTAGAAATATTGGAAGTAATATTCATTGAAATATTTTTTTCATATCAGAACATGGTTAAAAAATAAAAATGATATTTATTATTTTGGTGCTGGGGAGTGAACATGAGGACTGTTACATCCCTAGCCAAAACAGAATTATTGTTGAAAGGACTGGGTATACTACAGTCCAATACTCTCCCCTAAATGAGCTACTTAGAGTAAGTCTGACATGACATGGGCATAGAATGATCTTAGGTCAGCTTGCTCAGGACAATACTGGATTATGCCAATGGTCTGGAGGTAGTTCTTACTGGTGTCCCCTTACGCTTACAAAAGCCCAGATTTGGAAGAAAACTGATATAGTCACCATAAAGAGAGCTTCTAACTCTTGGGGAGAAAGGATTTTATTGGAAGTATATATATCATCAGCTGCGAATTATTTCACTTTTCTTTTTTGGTGCTGGGAATTGAACCCAGGGCCTTGTGTATATGCTTAACCCCGAAGCTACACTCCTAGCTTGATTTCATTTTGAATAGGAAAATAATAAAACTCCATCCAGTCGTGTACTTGCCTAACCAGAAATTATAGGATATCTACTGATCCAACTTGATGACCCACTTTCTCTTGAGATGTAATATATATTTTCCATACAAGAATGTAAAGGATTTTTTTAAAAAAATCATACTTTTAGAAAATATTTCCATACTACGCAGCATGAAAAACACCCATTATATGACATACCTAGATAGATATATACACACACAAATAAGCATATGTTTGCTGGAAGAGAGAAAGAAAAAGCGATTATGTTGTTATACATCTGCAGTGATGCAAAACATGAACTAGCATCTCTGAATTAAAAATAGCATCTTACCTGAAGTTCCTGGGGAGCAGAGTGGATAGAAAAACAAATAAAAGGTCTATTTAAAATGATTAAAGATACTTAAGTGCATTTATCTTAGTTTTAACACAGCAGCAACTAATAATGCTAACAATATAAACAATACATATTTTTGTAGACACCACTTTTTATTTTTTAATTTTTTTTGTTTTTTTTGAGACAGGATCTCACTATGTAGTTGAGTCTGACCTGGAACTCACTATGTAGCCCAGACTGGTCTCGAACTCACAGCGATCCTCCTGCCTCAGCCTCCTGAGTGCTGGGATTACAGGTGTGCGCCACCACACCCGGCTAGACACAAGTTTTTAAAATGTTAAATATGTGCTAATTCCAAAAAGAAAAATCAGTATTAAACAATTAGTATTTCACACCTCTTAGTGATAGATGGTGCAGCTGGGGTAACAGATCATAAGTATAATTTCTGAAGTAGCCAGAACTTCAGTGACAACAATGGTCTCTTCAACACACTCTTTTGGAATGCCTAAATAATTACTTGTGAGAAAATTGTTAAATGCCACAGGAAAGTAAATAAGGGTCATGAACTAGAAAAAAAAGGGGTGTCACCTGATTGTGCTCACAAAGCTGAAAGTGTTTGTGATCATGATGTGCTTACTGTGGATGTGCAATTAATAGCAAAGACATGGCCCTTTAAGATTTTAATAAGGTCAAGGGCATGAACTCATACAGATATTATCAACAATCTGGAGATGAGTGAAAAGGAACAGACATCTAAACAACCTGACTTTTTTTGACAATTGGAGTTCTTTTTTTTCCCTTGCTGTGCAGACCAGGCTATCATGTGCCAACACCCCTGGCGTGACAACTGTTTTCATCAAGTCACCAAATACGCTTTCTCTGATGAGGATACACTAAAATTATTTGCCAGTGACAGCCAGTTCAAGGGGACTGACATGGAGAATACTGAGTGTCTGGCATATACTAGAAAATCCCTTGGGTTATCTTATTTAATCCTCATGACAACTATATAGGCAGGTATCATATATCTATTGAACTGGTAAGCAGCAGAAAACAGAGAGGATCTGCACTCCTCTTTGAGGTCTTATGGCTAGGTCATCAGTAGAGCTGAAATTCAAACTTATATTTCATAGACTGAAATCCAAACACTCATCCTACTTACTGATCCGTAAGCATGTTAGAATTCTTTTATTTTAAAAGGGCTAAAGGTGCAGGGGAAGTGGGAAGGGGTAGAGGAAAGGAAATAAAGGAAAAGAAAAAAAATGAGAAAATGAAAAAATGGAAATAAAGTGTTTGTAAATAGGGAAGGGAGGAGGGGGTGAAGGGAGGGCAGGGATAAGTGGAAAAAATGAGAACCAAGGCCTGTCATGTGAAGGTACAAGATCCCAATGATGAATGTAACTGTACTGTGTACCTAAAATGTACCAATAAACTCAATGACAGAAAAAAAAGAATTCTTTCCTTTGTTGCAAAACATTTATTGGTAGATTTTAGATATACATAATGATAGCATTCAGCACAGGGAACTTGTACCTGTTCACGATATATCTTGCTTCTTTTCTTCCTTATATCCCCCTCTTTGGGCCTTCTTGCCCTCTTTATATACAAAAGCTTTGTTTCCATTTTTCCTTCTATCTTTTCTTGTCTTTCCTTTCTGCCTTACTCCTCTTTATTATAATTTTTTTCAGAAGTAGCAAAACATTCTTAAATGACTTATTTTTTAGATGAGGTCTCACTTGTTGCCCAGGCTGTCTCTAACTGCTGGGCTCAGCTAATGCATCTGCTTCAGGTTCCAAGTAGCTGGGACTAGACACACGTCACAGCACCTGACTTTCAAATGACTTATTTTATTTGGATAAGATGTATTCTCTTATTCCTTTGAATTTCTTACAAAACCTTAATCATAGAAGAGAAAATCATCTCTGTGATAGTTTAATTGTTGGCTAGGACAAAAGGGAGAGGAGTTACAAGGAAGGCATAGCATTCATTATTATGAAAAACATTAGTACCACAGTTAAGAGGTAGGCATCTCTGATTTTTTCTTCTTCCATTTAAAAAATATTTTTTATGTTTTTGGTGCTAGGGATACCACACAGGGCCTTAGTGCATGCTATACACCAGTTCTATCACTGAGTGACATTCCCAACTCCTACTTTCAAGAGAAATTAAATTTGTTGTTCTGAAATTATTTGTGCTTTCTCCGTTTTACATCATCCCTCCACTTTTCTCTGGCTAAGGAAGATGATACCTCTCTTGTTTTGTCAGTTTTCCCCTTTCTAGTTTAACTTCCAGAGTAAAGAGGTTGCCCAAACTTGAATTCCAGCCTGAGAGTGAGCAAACATTAGGTCATCTGCCAGGTCAGTGAGCTAATCTTTTGACATTAGCTGAACACTCAGCTCTGGTTCAGAGATATTTAGAAAATAATTAAAACAACTGTACAGTATTTTGCTTTTTCTGTCACTAATTATGGTTAGTAACAGTCTCTGCAATACTTTTCATGGTCCTAGAACAATTTAAGGTGAAAATTAAGCTGGCATTTTTGGGAAGCATAGTCAGTGCTTTTAGTTTTTTGTTGTCTAGGAGACATTAGAGGGGTAGTCTGTAATCACATCCTTTTAGAGAGGCTACACAAGCATCATTGTTCCATAAGTGTCTAGTTAGGAGGTGCCTACCTGCCACACAACAGAATAAATTTTGAATCTGAGCCTTTATTTTAATTGTAAGACTGGCAGAATCTCTTTTGGAAAATAGAGTATGTTTAGTTAAAAGTGAACTGACCCATCCTGACCAATACCATGAACCAGGCTTAGTACCAGGCATCTTTACATAAGCCAATCTCACTTAAGGGAATTGTGTTTTCATCCACAGGATATTAACAACTATTTCTCAGCTAAAACCTGCCCCTTAGCTACAGAAATGAAGGTGACTGACTGGGGGCTCATCCTTTCAACCCTGTTTTCAAAAACATGATTCACTGCACAAAACATCTTATTACCATGATCATCATTTAAAGTAAAAGAATCTGTATTTGACTGTTGAGACTTGAATTCAGCTGCTCCAGGTGTCTAGAAGTCTGGTGACCAACCCAAGCAGAGCAAAGAATGCTCTCTCTCATGTGCTTTATATTTCAAGTTCTAATGATTTCATCAAACGTAGAAACAAGAAAGCTGGAGCCCTGAGGCTCTGATCTCATGTTTGTAGCAGGCAAGCTTTGAAGTAATTCAATTAGAACAACTTTGCATTTAAAATAATTAAATGCTTAGCATATTTTACCCAGGTGCCAGTGAACAGGCTCAGAACTGCATGTTTTGTGCTTTTTAAATTCCCCTTTAGACGACACACACACACACACACACACACACACACACACACACACACACACAGTCTTTGTGTGGTCATTACAACACAGGTCTTTGCCACTTAGAAAGAACTTGGCAGCTTTCACCCTGGCCTCAGACAGGAAGGGCGTTGTAACTTAGCAAAGTTAAGTGGCTGTACTTTGAATAAGCTGATTCAAAACAGAGTTTACAGTTTTGCAATTAAAGACCTTACAAAACTCACTATTTAACAGTCAGAAAGACTATTTTCTTAGTCAAGAATAGAGTTAAGAGGATTATTTTTAGAGAATATACTGTACCTCTCCATCCTCCAGCTCCACATCTAGAAAATCGAAGTCTCTAAAGACTCTGAACTGCTGCTCGCTGTTGGTGTCATCCATGTTCTCCTGCTCCCGGGCACCGTCCTCGGAAGACACCAAGCTTGTCTGATGCTCTAGCAGATCCAGGTCCCCACACGAGGAAAAAATCACCTATGAACCCAAACAGTCCTCTCCTGAGAAACTGGTCTCTTTTCAGTTGTTTGTGTTACAAGAAACGGTAATTGGCTCTTCACAGCACTGTATTTCCAGTAAGTACACACCTAATTCCTTCACTGGGTATTTTTAGAACGTTCTTTTATTATTTATATTGGACAGGTTCCTTTGGATTAAACTTGTTGCAGAGATGTAAGTTCATGCACTAGGAAAATTTCAAGAGTTAAGTCATTGTCTCTTAATGGATGAAGATGCTACACAACCTGGGTGCGTGTGTGAGAGAAACAAATGATCGCATTTTTCACAGACAAACTGGTGGTTAAGAAGTTTTCCAGTTTCTCAGCTGATTGGGACTAGAGATTGCACACACTGATAAACTCACTGGAATTGCAAAAGAGTAGCAGAACACCATTCCCATAATGTTCATACACTTAAATCTCTGCCATATTGCTTTAAACATATCAAACCATTTCTTCTATTAAAATCTTTACTATGTTAATGTAAAATTAACTCCTCCATTTAGGTTTTCACTGAGCCATTTTATTTATTTTATTTTTATTTTTTGGTACCGGGGATTGAACTCGGGTCCTTGCACTTGCAAGGCAGGCCACCAAACCGCTGAGCTAAATCCCTGGCCCTGAGCCATTTTAATACAAGTTTGTAGAGACAGTATTCTACAAATGAACCTACGTGTTTTGCTAGCCAGCTTCTACTATTTCACCTGCTCATGAACAATATCAGTGAACACAGACTGATGTTAATTAAAATTAACAGTATTCTTTACATGATCATTACAATGTCCTAGTCTTCTTGACAAGCAGGCAGATCATTTATAAGAACAGAAATACAACAAACACGTATCCAAAGTAAAAAGAGAGTGGATGTTAAATGTAATGTTTTTCTCTTCCATTTAAGAATAGTTATGTGATGTGACCATACAGGATGACCATTCCTGATCTGAAAATCTGAAATGCTCTGAAATATGAAATTTTTCCATGCTGACATGCTCAAAATTTTAATATTTTGGAGCTTAGATTTTTGGATTAGAGATATTCAAGTGGTAGAGTCTGTACAAATATTAAAACAATCTCAAAACCCCCAAATCTTCTGGTACTAAGTATCTCAGATAAGGGGTCTTCAAGCTGTGCTCTCATGCAGTGGTACATGATGGACAGTTTTGCACAGGATCATACAGAGGAGGGTGATCAAAATAACACTGAGAGCAAGTCCATTAGTCAGTCAGAGATGACACAGGAGTATTCTGATTTCCTTAGTGGAAGGCTCCTTTTCCTAGTTTGTGCTGCATATCTTATTTGTGAAGTACTACAGGTAAATATTTTTAGTTGGCAAGGTATTGGCACTGGGGCAGACAATTCGAACCAGAGAAAGTGCCACCCATGATCGCAGTAAGAAATCATTCTCATGGGCTGTGCTGCACTGCAGAGGTAAAACCCTCTTGTTTCTCTCAGTTGTGGGCTATGGACCTCGTCTGTCTGTCCTAATGTCACAGGTGCAGCAACAAACCACCGATCAGTAACACCAAAGGTGACTTAAATGGAGGTGAAGTTTAGCTGAGGGGTAACAGGGGTGCTTATACTTTAGTGGGCATTTTTGAGGCTCTGCTGTTTCACCTGCTCATGAACAGTGTCAGTAGATACAGTTTAGGATTTTAAAAATAACTGCAAAGAGAAATTAGTGTGCTAATTTTACCTTATTTGTAAGTTAATTTATTATTTTTTTGTAAGTAATAAAGATGCTATAATATAGATGAAATAAAAATACCTGGTGAAACCAGACCTTGAAATTTTCAGTTTTTGTTGCAATATGCCTGTATCCGGTAATTCAAATTTTGTGTATTTGATAAAAGCTCCAGAAGCTTTCTTATTATAACACTTTAATCATTTGTTCTTTCAAAAGGCTAATGACTTTTTTTACTGCAAGTAAAAATTTATATAAAAATGCCACTTAAAATATTTATAATTTGTGTTGTTTGAGACAGGATCTCACTATATTGTCTCAGTTGGCCTTGAACTCACTATGTAGCTCCAGCTATCCTTGAATTTGCAATGATCCTCTTGCCTTGGCCTCTTAAAGGCTAGGATTACAAGCATGTGACACTACACCTGGCTTTGTAATCTTTTAGTATTTTTGAGAATTGTGATGTGAATACAGAGAAAAGTATAAAGTATTTACCAAAGTTTTGTTAACATGTCATTATTTTTATCTTTGCAGTATGTAAGTAAAATAATGACACCAAAGTAAGAAATGTGTGTATATGGAATAGAATTACATCTAAGAGGATTAGCATCTATGTCATGCAGGGCGGTGCAGTAGATACAGCACAGATACTGTAAGTAAAGTTTGGACATCTATATATATGTATATATGGTCTAAGAAATTTTTTAAAAATTAAAAAAATGAAAACAGTATTCACTGGGGCAGAAAAACCAACTGGGGAAAGGAGCCAACAAAATTGTTCCTGGTTTTTAAACTAAGTGACATTAAAAACCATGGTGTAGGGAAGAACATGGTGTAGGAATTTGGTGTAGATAATTTGGTATAGTGGATATCATGCATTTCATTAATTGTGGAATCTTCAAAACTATATGGTCAGCAGCAAAAACAGATCAAAAGCAAAAAGATATGACACCACAGTAACTGTGCCACATGATGGAACTTACGGATGGGTTTTTGCTTAGTCCTACTTCTTGGCCACACAGAGAAAGGACATGCACCAACTTCTCTTTTGTTCTCTTCTGGAAAAGAAATACAAAGTAGGTTTTTATTGTGGGGTCCTGTGAGCAAATCTGCTCTAATATCACAGTACCTTGCAACAGACGGCAGGTGACTATGCTTGAAATTTGGCCACTAAGAGCTGAGATGTAAAACACAAGACTTGCTATGAAAAAACAATGTGAAATATCTCATTGATAACAGTAAAATATTGATAACTTGTTAAAAATAAATTTTAAATTGTTAAATAAAATGTTATTAAAATTGATTTGCTTGTTTCTTTTTACTTTTTCTTTTAAATAAAAAGGTGACTGCAACAAAATTTAAAAAGAGGTTTATGTTTCTACTAGCAGTATGTACCTAAGTTATCCCAAAGGGTGCCATGAGTATATGCAAATAAATGCCTAGGTCAGTGGTGGTGAACCTATAGCACAAGTGCCACAGTGGGCATGAAGAGCCCTCTCTCGGCACACAAGTGGCCCCAGCAGCTAGCACTAGATAACTGTTGTTTTTTCGAAACTAAACCTCAGTATTCAGGCTTAATGTCAGAGTGGGTTTTGGCTTGCAGTTTGGGAACTTGTCTCTAACAGGTTTGCCATCACTGCCTAGATACTTCAATGGAGAACCATCACTCCCTTTGATAATTTTTTCTTGACTATTACAACTTTTAGTTTTAGCAGGTTTTTCTTACAACCAAATTAAATCTATTATAGTACAGATATATATTTTTTTCAAGTGAGAAGTTTGCTTTCTGCCTGATAAAGGCATTCAGTTATTGCTAAGCCACATTAAATTTTCTAACTTGACTCTTTCTAAAATTAAACAGATTCTGATTTTCTTCACAAACCTTTTCTAGCCCCTTAATCATGGGGAAACTTCTCAAAATCATCACATTTTTCATGAGATTACTAGGTCTCAGGATGACTGGTAGATGAAAATGAAAAGACAACTAAAGTCTAAAAAATGTTGATGTACTTCAGAACTGCTCTTAAAACAGACTTCTTAATCTGTATACAATGATCCCTCCCCTTTAATCTCATTTAGGGTTGTTATTTAGAAACTATAAGAAGCTAATACCACTCTTAGATGTTTACTGTTAATGGAATTTAGTTCACTTCATCCTTCTTTCCGAGTTATAGAAGGGACAGTCAGTGTCAAAGTCAGAGATACGAGGACCTTGATGTGGCGGGAATGACTGTACATTGCTCAGCTGTTTTCCTAGGCCTTAAGGGTAATTTTAGAATTCTAAGAAATTAATGTAGAACATGTAACAGGGCTATACATTTTCCTTCTCTTTTCCAACAATGTTTTTATTTATTTATAATTAAAAAAATTAATTTGGTACATTTTAGGTATATAACATTCATCATTGGAAATTTGTACCTTTGTGTAATCTATCTTGGTTTTCATTTTTTCCCCATCCCCCTGATCTCCCTTCAACCCCTCCACCCCTTCCCTATTTACAAAGACTTTGTTTACATTTTTTTCATTTTCTCATGTTAATTCCAGTTGTTTCTTTTCTTTCCCCTTTCCTTCTCACACCCCTTCCCCTTGGCACCTTTTCTTCCTAGTTTACATTATGAATTATGCCTTTTGGTCCTTAGTTTCACTTTCAGTTTCTCACACCACAGAAACAATTTGGTTTTTACACATGTGTGTCCTATTTGTTTCACTTAAGCGAATGGCCTCAACATGCATCTATTTAGCTATAAATGTCGCTAATTTCTCATTCTTTATTAATGAGTAGTACTCAATTTTATTTAAAACCCACATTTTCTTTCACATTTGATGGGCAACTGGATGTTTCCAAGTTTTAGCTATTACAAACTGTGCTGCTATAAACACTGGTGCACATATGTTGCTGTGATATGATTCTTTTAATTATTTTGGGAAGATACCCAGCAGAGGGATGGCTAGGTCACATGGGACCTCTACTACTGTTGTTTGAAGTATCTTCATACTAAATTCTACAGTGGTAGGACCACTCTAAACTCCCACCAACAGTGGAAAAGGGTTCCTTTTTCCTCACAGCCCTGCCAGCATTTGTTATTGGTTGATTTAATGATAGCAGCCATTCTTTCTGAGGTGAGGTGGAACCTCAGCGTTGTTTTCCTTTGCATCTCTCCAGTGACCAGTGGTGATGAACATTTTTTCATATGTTTATTTGCTATT